AAAAAATCCTAACCTCACGCGCCATCTCCTGTCCGACGAGACCGGCCGCGCTCTGAAGGGCCGTCCCACTCTCGTCGAGCCCGAGCCCCTTGATGTGCGTGTGGGCCGAGATCCTCTGGGTCTTGGCGGTGCTCTTCACCTCCTCGATCTTCATGGTCGCGGGCGATTTGTTAGCAAAAAAAGACACGGCACACCGGCGACGAGACAAACACGCTGCTAGAGCCTGTGTTTGTTTGGTTAGATACAGCAGCTCCTCTCCTTCCGGTCGCGTTGTCACAGCAACGCCACCAACCGGAAATCGAACGCGCGCAGCTTGCGCGCCACATTCCGAAGCTCAGGCTACCGTTTATTGATCCGCTCGCGGATACTTTAACGAGCAACATTACGTCATTTGCGATAAAATTAGGTGATAAACTCCGAAATTGGGAGATAATATCTGAAATTGAGAGAAATTGTCAGTCGAGAGAAAAAGAAAGAGAGAGAGAGTACAGTTGCGTCTGTGGAAAATAGATTTTAATTGCGAGTCGCCTGTCGAAAAGTCCGCGTCTAGCAATTGATACATTTTTCGAAGGCTAGATGTCTCATGGGACGATGATTTCTCGATAGTGCCGCGGATAGGCCGACTTCGTATATAAAGGAACTCTAAGGGAGCATCCATCGGGTCCGATACACCTGGGAAAAAGCTAACGATAAATCGTAATCTTAATTTGAAGTTGCCGCTAATTTCAATACAGTTCAACTATCTCAGCCCAAGGTGTGACGTCGACCCATTTTGCTTCGTGATATCTAATTTCCCCGCCGCGATTCTTTTTCGTTAAAACGCATTTATGCACTGCACACACGCTACTGCATCGATTTAGCTTCCCGCTCGAACTTGACTTCGACCCCGTCGAAATTAATTTTATGTTTGTAACAACCTATTTTAGTCTGTTTTTAACAGATAGAAATAAAGGATAATAATATAATTATAATTCATTAACATTCAAGCTCTAATCTCTTCTTTTAGTCTGTTTTTAACAGATAGAAATAAAGGATAATAATATAATTATAATTCATTAACATTCAAGCTCTAATCTCTTCTTGTTCATGCTGAGGATTTAATCAAATTTAATTATAATATAAATTACAAATAAATATAATTATACATTTTTAATTATACATTATTATATGTAATTTATTATATATTATTATATAATTACGTAATTAAATTAAAATTATGTGATATAATTATGACATAATTAAATTTAATTATATAATTAAAGATATTAAATTACAGAATTAGATTTTTAATTTCTTTAATTTATTTAAGCGATAATAATCATCCTTCAAGATTGTCATATAACTCGTTTTAGAAAATACAGGAACCATTCGAACAAGTTCAGGAATAATAAATAAACGTTTATTGCAATGTAGATTTCAGCGGCTTACAAAAATTTAAACATTATTAAGTACTGCGACTTATTCTTTTCAATTCCTTCGCGCGATTCGATCTTCCCTAAAACGGAATCATACTTTATACAGAGACTTCGTTTCTCTATCTTCAAACTCCGATGACGTCTGGTTGTCTTTCATCTGAGGGGAAAAAAGAAGAGTTCCGTTAAATGCAAAGTACAGAGACACGACGAGACAGCTAGTTGCACAAACGCTGCGACTTACTTTGACATGAGCGTATAATATAATTCCCACTAACGTCAAAGTTATACCGATGACCTGATTTATCGCTAACATCTCGTGGAAAAGTAACGAGCCGCCCAGCAGCAGCAGGCAGAACTTGGAATGTCCAACCATATTATATCTGAGTATTTTGTTAAAGTGCATAAAGCGCGATTTTGTCGGCATCTCGTAATACGACATTAATGCAAGGATACGTTAAAGGCGAGGTCTTTCCTATGATCCAGTAGGAAGTTAAATTTACAAAGAACGCAACCACACCCGACAGTATCACCATGACCTGAAAATGACGAGGGCCATCATTCACTCAATCTCCAATAATCTCAAAAGTTTCTCAGAACTTCTATAGGCTGTACTGTTTTGGAAACATACCATGTCCAACAGCGACCAATCGTGCGTGAACGTCTGGCCAACCGGCTCCAGAATTGGGACAACAATCAACAGCATAACAGCGGATAATGGCGCTTGGTAAAACAACAACTGCATTGGGTCCATCTGAAACTCCTTCTGCTTTCTGTTTATCATCTGAAAGAAGCGACGAAATGATCAGTACCGCACGCTTGCACTTGCTCACCAGATATTGTCAGGGAGAATTCAGACCTTGCCAGAAGGGCAGAAAAGCAGAAGCCAGTCAGAACTCACGCTGGTAAGCGAGAGAAGCAGACAGCAGAAACTATCGATTGCCAGTGCGAGCACTGACTAGTTTCTGCTTCTCTGTCAAGGTGCGAATTCTCCCCTTACATAAATTCCGACTTCTGTATTTATCAAAAGTAAGAGACAACAGGCGCGGCACGTACAACTTGATACAGAGACGTCACGAGTACTCCCAGCGTCGCGTAGACGGTACCAATGACGTTGAACTGTATGTCGTAGTAAAAATTGATTACGACTCCCAGCGTGATCGGTATCAGGGTCAGCTTGACGAGTACGCCGAAGCGCTTTCGATAAAATATCATTTGCATCACTATCACGCAGGGCGTCGTCAGCATCTTCGCCACCTGATACGTCCCGACCGTGTTGTGGGCGAGGCTCAGATTCGTCAGGACGACGAAGCCGCAGAACGTCATGGCGATGAGCACCATCTCCTTGATGTCGATGTCCTTGACGCAGAAGACGTCCAGCTTCTCGCAGATTATCAGGCCGACGAAGGTCATGAAGAAGTGTATCATGGACAGCGTGATGTTCGGGAAGCGGGTGTGAACGTACAGCCATTTGTTCAGAAGCACAATTACGATCGAGAAGGCTATGTTGAGCGCCAGGTAGAACGCGGTGACCGCCTTCTTGTTCATCTTCTCGGGAGACCCACCCCTCCCCCCCTCTCAACAATCGTTGCCGCGGCGAAAAATTCAGATAATTACGTTAACGATATGTAAACGTTAACGGCGCGGCGATGACCCAGGCCATCAATCCGGGTTTACATCTCGCACGAGGCCGCGCACACGAAGTCCCGGCGACGGAAATCCTGGGCTAGAGAATCATCGGCAGTAACACCACGACCACGTTTGTTTTCTTTTTTTTTGTTTTTCATTTGAATTCATTCATTTCGCTCCATCCGACGATCACATAATTCGCATGTATCGAATGGCGTGCCATGTCCGAGTGCCTCGAAGGTGACGAGAATCCGCCGGTCGATCGTTCAACATTTCAGCCGACCGACCGCGATCGACATTGGGACGCTGTTTACGCGGTCTACGTCTACCATCGACGAGGACGATGAGGTTATATTACTATTAAAATGGCCGGCCACCGACGAGATATTATTAAAGACCGACACCCTTTTTGAGATTGAGATTGGAATGTAATTGGACCAATCAAAACAAAGTTCACAAAAAAAATGGACATTATAAAAATTATAATAATAATGATAATAATAATTATATAATAATAATGATAATTATATAATAATAATAATTATTGTGGACATTTTATGTCCATTTCTACCAATGTAGATTAACTTTAATCACGGTTTTATTTACTTTTTTTTATCTTTTTCCAATTCTTAAAAGTAGAAAAACATACAAAGTAAGTTAAACCTGGATTAAAGCTAATCTACGTTGGTAGAAATAGACATGATATCTCGTCGGTGTAACTGCATTACCGATCGTTACCGACTCGGTAAGTCGACAGTTGGTTCGCGCTGTCTGACACACGGAGGCGCCAGTGAACGAGTGCCTATCGGAACTCCGGGCGCGTCCCTCTTGGTATGATACATGTGGAGCACGAGGCCGGAGCGCCAAAAACCGTTCGATAACCGCTCAAAATCGTCGGCGGTTTTTTTCTGTGATGTAAAGCGACGGAGACCCTCCTCGTTTCAGCGTCTCTCTTTGAAAGGCATCTCGGAACATGGTAGAGTTCCCGTTGGGCTATCGCGAGGTCGTGCCGAATCAAACTCTGCCAGAGAAATGGAAGGAGATCACGCTGAACACAGGTGAGCGTGTGTTCTAACCTCCCTCCGACCCGGATCCCCCGGGGGCCGCCCGGCGAACCGAATTTTCGCTCGCTACGTCACATAAAAACGCCGCGGGAACGCGCCCGCTGCGACCCGCGGGTGCAACGCTCGCGGAATAACGCGTAGCGCAACGTTCGCCGGTCGAAGTATCATTTTTGCACCCCTCGTCTAACCTCTCTCTCTCTCTCTCTCTCCCCGACGTCTAACGCTCGACGTCGCTCGTTCTGCGTGAATTGAATTTGGATTTCGCACACGTCGTAAATCAAGCGGCACACGGGACTCGTATGCGTCAAACACGTATATGTCAAATTTGCTGCGTTTCTAGTAAAATTAGTAGTTTTAAAATAATTACGCTTTAATGAATTGTATTAAACTACTACAGCCGTTGATATTTCATAAAATTTTGTCTATATTTATAGTAGATAATTGGATAATAATATGTGATAAAAATTAATTGCATTATTATTATCGGTTAATTAGTTGCATTATTATATTATTGTTATCCGTTAACAAGGAACAGAGAGATGAGAATGTTATTTTTACAGGTGGAAGCCAAAGTACATTGCAAGATATAAAAGTGCCAGAGAGGGCAGGTGGCTACTCGTACAAAGATTCTTCCAAATACTTCACTCGTAACCGCTTCATTTACTGGCGCATTTCCCACGATGTACTCGAATTGGTCGAGCACAGCTTGGACATTAATCTCGTCAACTGTCGAGTGAGATACAAATTTACGGACACCCCGATTCTAGATGGAATCTCCATTCACGAGACAGTCAACTCTGTTATTATCTTGATCGTCACCGTTTCCAGCGTTCACAAGCTTTCCTTCTCTCACCCGGATAAAATCCACAGTCAAGTATGCACGAATCTTATTGCGCGTCTTTGACGACACATTTTACCAAGAATTGTCTTGATTATTTTGTTAATAACAATTTATTTTCTTCAAGGAAAATCTATTGGGAACTTATACCGATCTCAGTGTACAATCTATATTTACCAAAGCCTCCGTACAAAATGCCAGAGATCCTCATACATTTCACATTATTTCGAATGCCGGAGCCACAAGTGAGCTTGCAAAATATAGGATATGCTCACAACATTAGAATAAATTTAATTTTTCACTGTACTATATCAGAGCGTTCACTTTTTTTTTTCCAGATTCTCCAGTGCCTCATGCGGCAGCGTCGTGGCTTACACTGCCGCAGGAAGAGGCGTTGTTCGCCCTCGCGTACAGCTCGGCCACCATATTACTCTTGAGGCTCGACACGCTGACGGGTCTCGTGCACACGAGTGAACTGAAACAGGACTCGATAATGCCCAAGTTTTTGAGCGGTATAGCCACTGCATTCCGAGGACGTAATACCGAAGCCCACGTGGCTATGTCTCTCGTTATACACAGCTACGGCAACGATACGTACCTGTATGCGTTATGCCGAGAAGGCAATATACGTATATGGTCTTGCAACAAGACGCAGTGCGTGGCTGTGACGGACGCGGCGACCGAGAATCGTATGGTATCTCAAGGCGCGCAAGGCCACGTTTTGAGGAAAGCGCTGGGCAACGATAACGAGTTGTATCTCGGGACCTTCTTAAAATTCGGCACGGGATGCGAATTCAGCATTCTGAAGCCCGTGCAGGACAACGGCATATTCAAGTTCGTTAGATTATGTACGTTATACGCGCCGGACGTGAGTACTTTATGACTTTTATCGATTTACGCCTTTTTTCTACGTATTTCACTGCGAAACGAACGTAATGTGAATTTACATTATTTTCACGCAGCAACATCTGGTAGACTTTGCATTCACGCCAACCAGATTGTGGGCCGTGTGGAGAACCGCGGACATGGACGCGGTGGCGGTGACGCACGCACATTTGCCGCTGACGCACCGCACTAATCCCGAGTGGGAGACGACGATCTTGGAACAGGCGCGCGACAGGGATTACATTGTGACCGAACCCGGAACGGATCCGAGGGAGGCGTACATCAATTACATTTTTCACCCTGGACAGTTCTCACTGGCGGACATCACGAAAGCTCTGAGCATCTACAGAAGATCCAATGTAGTGGCGGAAATGACATTTCCCCCGCCGGCCGCATTGAAAGAGAGGGTGTGCATGGCCGTGGAGGCCGAGATGCAGGCGGAGGTGATGGATTACGTGATTATGGACGAAGATTATCTCGAGATCGCTAATCGTTGCTGGTCGAAGTTCTACTCGTGCGTCGTGCAGTACCACGCCAACGGCACTCGCCCGGTGGGCCTGCTGCTGCTGCCGAGCGTTTACGGCGTTGTGCTGCTGAAGAAGTCCTCGTTCTCGCTTCTGAGACCCATGGAAGCTTTGGAGCATCTCGTACTTTGCAACGATAAGTCCTACATATCACGGTTCAAGACGACGCCTGTTCTGTCGCAAGACGAAGACACCTGTCAAGATCTAATCACGTTAATGTCGGCGCTGATCATGCTGGGGGAACAGTTGTCCGAAGAGACTAAAACGGAGATCGAGAGAGAATTGTATCATCTGAGAAGTCCGGATCTCATAATCGATGACTTGCTGTCGAAACTAATGTTGGAACCTGACGACGCGGTGAGTATTTTTAATTAATTTTCACTCTATTTTTTTTCTTTGTACCCCGCAATTCATTCATGCAACATATACGGTGTTAAAAACAGCTGTCGGATTTTGACTTTCAATCGGAACTCTGTCACAAGCTGAGTCACGTTAAAGACATATCCGGAGCCATGGCCATGTTGCTGGAGGCTTTAACGTACGATCTCGGACAGCCGAACAAGCTGCAATTCGAGGACGATCACGATAGTTCGAAACTCTTGTTGAACGTCACTCATCTGTTTGGCAGTCAGCTGGGAATTTCCGCGGTAGCGGAAACCATAACGCAAATAGCGCTCTTGAGATTCTCCATCTGCAGGGATCTGTTGATGCTGCAGCAGCTCATACTGCTGCGTCCCGAGATGTTTAATTCGAGATCCTTGCACACCATAAGATCGTCGTTGGCGCCGCGAACCGTTGTACTTACTCAAGCTTACTACGTCGTCACGTGGATATGCGAATCGACGGCAACGTACACTTCACAATCATTACTGTGAGTCTTATCGTTTTTTAGTATAAAATTATAAAATATTTACTCCCAAATATCACGAAATAAACGGTTCTAAACAGCAGCAAAGTAGCGTCATGAAAGCGTATTAAAAAGGACGTATGAAATTTCAGGGAATCCAGTTCTCAACGGCTTTCAACTCTCAAGCTCGCCGACTCGCGAATTAATGTTGGACAGAAGCAGCATCGATCTCTCTCGCTTTTAGAACTGTTTATTCATAGCAGCGGTGCGAAACACGCTCATATTCTGATGGCCCAGGCGAACATGGACCCGACGACCCTGATACCTTGGCACTACAGTATGCTGACGCATGTGACGCTTCTCGCGCAACTCGTGTATCCTTTAATAACAATTTTCGGCATCGATTTTCGTAAATCAACGATTCTTTTATGTCAAGTCTAAATAATAATAATTCAAGAATCATTGCCTATATTTTCTTGAACGACGAAATTAGATGGCCGATATCCGGGAACTTTATCTTCCCCGAATGGCTGCTCTCCAGTTGTCAATTCCTGCTTGTTCAGGAATACGTGAGACTTCTGAACCCGTGGTGCGAGTGGAACAGCGCCTCGAGGAAGTTCATACTAGCGGTTGCCTTGCTAGAAATGGGGGAGATGCAAAAGGCGTGCGATCATTTTGTGCGCGCTTCCAACGGAATATTGACCGACGTGTTTCTGGTGGATGCCTTACTCAACTCCAACGTAACGACGAGAAATAAGGATCTGGTTCATTACTATCTGAAAGTGATCAAATTGTTCGAGGAGCACAGCGCGTCCGATTGTATCATAGATATCGCCGAGGCGGCCATAACAAGCGCCGACGCGAACGATCCGAATCTGCCGACGCTTCATTCCATAATATTCACGCAACATTTAAGTCTGGGCCACCACACGGAGGCTTACCATTGCCTGAACGCAAATCCAGACCCCGTGCGTAGAGTGGACTGCTTGCGGCAGTTGGTCGTTACGTTGTTCGAGAAGAAGTTGCTGATAGATTTGATTTCTTTTCCCTATGTCGACATGTACGAGGACCTCGAGAGAATAGTGGAGGGCAGAGCCAGAAGTGTCGATCTTATGGAAAACAATTATTATAATTTTCTATACAGCTTCCACGTCAACAAACAAAACATGCGGAAAGGTGAGTTTTTCTTGTTCTGTACGAGTGTACATAGGTACGTCTGTCGTTGTAGCTATACATTTTTTATTATATTTTCACAGCCGCATCCGTGATGTACGAACAGGCTATGCGTTTGAGCCAAGAGCCTCACTCCGCGCCGATTATAGCGAAGCACGCGCAATGCCTACTGGCGTGTATTAACGCTTTGCATCACGTAAGCGAGAAGTACAGGTGGATCGTGAGGCCTTTAATCGATCAGAGTGTCTCTGGCGAGATGAACTCGTCGAATCCGCAAAAGAAGAGAAGCATCGACGGAAAAGAGGTGTTGCATTACAAGATAAAGAAACAAATCGAAGTACTCGAGCTTGACGATATCAAGAAGGAATATTATATAGCGGACGCGAGACTAAAAATATCGAAAGTGAATTCGGAAATGCATATAGTAGCACATACTGGTAAATGTCTCTTGACTATGTAATTTATTTTTATGAATTAAATTGAAATCGAAAATATATATTTATGTTTCAGAACTATCCGAGCTTATCGTCACCCTGTGTAGCACTGGCCTGTACGCAACGGCGCTGCACTTATGCGATGAATTTAAAATTAGTAAAGCCTCTGTACTGAAAAGTTTGACCTCTCAATGCATCAAATTGAGCCAACGCGAGGACCCAAACGCCTGGGATTGGCTAATACAAAATGATATATTTGGTATGCATAGTTGTATTTATAATTTTTGTTATACGAAATATGATTTTTTTTCAAAGGATATGTAACAGTAAATATTCTTCTTTAGATATAGGAATATCTAATACAACTATTACGAACACCGCTTGGAGGCTGTTAGAGTATTTCATGTTGAAGCACGAAGAGAGTGATAACTGCGAACTACACAAGGCCGTTGCACAAAAGTTGCTGCAAGATGGAGCTTTTCTGCCGCAATGGTTATTAATATCGTATAAGGCAAGCACTCTCGCCTAAATTGGTATAGCATTTCTACATTCATAAATTTTATTTATTATGTTCACAATAAAAATATTACAGAAGCGAAACGCGTCGGAGCTTCTTCGTCTCATGCTAAGTACCGGTCGACTAGTGGAAGCCAGCGACTTAGCGGTAGATTATATCAACGCGGCATTAGGTAGCGGTAAAGAACATTTTGGCCTTGAAACACCATTAGTAGCTACCGCTCCGCCTGTTTGGTTGCCGCTTAATACCATAGAAGTATTGTTAAGTGAATTAAAGCACTTGAGTAAAGATTCGGCTCATACAGAGGTAAAGAAAATTAATGTATTTTTTTGATATTATATTTTGCCAACACCGCAACACTCGATACACGCTGAGATTTGTATTTCAGAGCTACGAGAAATTAAATGCAACCTTGGAGAAGTACCTGGAAACGGTAGAACGCGTTTCGGAAGACATGATTAAAATGAAACTGATGAACGAACAGTGCTAGTAGTAGGTAACACATATTTATTCAATATGTATAATTATCATAAAAATTCTTGTTACAACTGTCGTATTATAAATTATAAACTCTCAGTTTACACACACAATGTACATATGGAAGAGAAAGATTTATAAAATACAATATATATAATATCAATAATATATATAAATGTATATATGGAAGAGATTTCTGTAGCACGATATATATATCAATATAATATATATATAATTAATTTGTATAAATGATTAAGTATAAACTGGATCGTGATTAAGCGCTAACATAGTTGTCAATATGATAATGAGAGTGAGCATTGCAGTAACAATCGCGGCTACTGTATGAGGGCATCGTTTGAATAATATCTATAATTGAAATTTCAAAATTTTAATTCAACGTTCCACTGATAAGAAAACAATCGTGATTACGATAAATTTATAGTTATTACCATTAACAAAACAACCACTGCCAGAATAAAAATCGATCCGACTGGCAGCAAGAAAGATGCGGCCCAGTAATGTCTCATTTCAGGTTCTATAAAAGAGAAATAATTATGTTACACTTTGAGAACCTGCTCTAAAAAATGTAATTTATAAAGAAAGCCTAATCCTATATAATTTCATGTCAGATGCTCACCTATACGCCAATTGTGATTAAATCTATTATAAAGCGGCGAAGACGATTTTATTATAATACTTTTGTATTTTTCAATTGCAGAATCAAGCGAACTTTTTGTATCTACGCTCCGCGCATCATCCCTCAACTGGTCTCCTGCGATGTACATACTTGTGTCAATTTATATTATTAATATAGTAACTGAAACAGTATAAAAAAAAATTATCATTTATAATTTTTGAAGTTAATTTTGATTATTGCATCTATTAAAAACTGAGTGAGTTTTCCATTATTGTAATAAGGGAATTTATTTGTACGGTGATTTGAAGTGCCAAGAATGGATTGTAATGTACTTTACACATCTCGTTAGAGTTACAGTCAACGGTAAGGATGCCTTGTTGAATGTTTAGATTTTAATTTTAAATTATTGTTTGTTACATCGCATTATTTATTATTCATTCCTGTAGCTTTAGAAACTACAGAATGCATCATATAATGCATATAATGAAGTTAGGTACCACGTTGTCGTGTTTTTGTATGTTTATAATTTCTCTGCAACCTTACCTCTTCTGTAATCTAACAGTGTTTATTGTATACAGCATTCTCATTAAAGACTGTTACTGATTTGCGTCATTCTCAAGTGATAGTAATAACATTAATATACATAATAATTTCTTCCATTTTTTTTTACATTAAACTCAAATATCGACAAACAATTTTACTGTTTTACTCTCGAGTTTTAAGTGATGTAACTACGTGCTCGTAAACACTATGTTTTTACTTGCAACCCTTTATTTAAATTTTTGTCATACTGTCTAAGATAGAAAGTAAAGTTTATTATAAGAATGAAACGAGACAATCATTTTGTGTAACTTTCAAGAAAAATTGCGACATCATGTAGCCATAATGTAATACGATGGAAACATTCGTAATTATTTAGTCAAATATTATAATAGAACATATGCTTCACATTCTAAATCTTATACATGTTTCCAATGTGATCGTATAATTTAATTGCGTTACTGTCAACAATTCACAAAAGAAAATGTGGACACTTATTAATACGAGTTCACTGCCAAGCCGGTTTCTTATGGCAAATAGCTTGAGATAGCTGAATCAAATTTTGCAAAGGGTTTGTTACAAATTTCGTGTCCACGCAATTCTCTAATTGAAACATTGAATCCACTCGAAAGCAAGACAGAACTCCATTATTTTATACATGCTGTATAAATGAATATTTCATTTATAAATTGATATTGTTCGTGGTTTCTGCCGCCAATTTGTTATCAGATTATGACTTTGATCAAACTTCAATAATCTAGCTTATCAAATAACATCCTGTACAATTTCAATATAAACAGAAATGTCCATTTTAATTATTAATTTAACACATGGGAAGAAAGATTGGCGAACGACCAAGGATTATATGCAGTTAAAAAGTTTGCTTTAAATCGATTCTGCCGGTCGAATTGATCGCCGATCAAGTTAATTAGAATTTAATCGAGGTTCATCCTTCATGTATCGGCAGGTTCTGCCGGCAGAACACGAGCGTACCGCGGACACAAACTGACGCCAATCTGCTCGAGGATACGTTTCCGAGTGTATACTGACGGTGAAGAAGATCGAACGCCCACGTTTACACGCTATACTCTCCGCTGTCAGCATATTTTTTTTATCGCAATCCGAGACACCTCCGTCCAGTACAGTACAAATGCCTCGTCGCTCGCCGAGGCTGGGCGACGAAGTAGCGCGACTGTAAACTCTATACGTATGGCTATTGGCTTACCTCGACGCGCAGCATCCTCTCGTGCGAGGTCCTACCGACTATTGCCATTGTCCGCGGAGCAGCGTCGCCGAGCACATGTCCGAATTGAAAACAAACTGAAAACGGAAAGGTTGGGAAAACCCTAAGTTCGGGACGTGCGATCAGGCAGCATACGGTTGGCGCGACCCCGGCCGCGCGCTGCTCGCGTACGCCGTAACATTTTATTTGCAGTGCGCGGAGCGACAAGCGCGGAGATAAACAAGTCAAAAGTTCAATCGCTCCTCTCGCACGCGATAGTATTAGATACCTGACGTCGCGTCGTCGGGGGGGCAGCAGCGGATGACTCAGAGGAGTGTATACAGTTATACGATACACGCTCGTCTCGGCTGCACCCATCTGCACTCGCGCGAATCAAACTCCGTCTCCCTCCTCAATTCTCATTATTGCGTTTCTTTCCGCTTCCGCGGAGGGACCGGACGCGCGCGTGGTAGGGGCGTGAAAAGAGGGAAGAGAAGACGAGGCGTGATCGTGCGGACGGCACGGATCTCGTGCGGCACCTCATTCTTATCTGGATATTCCGGATCATCTTCGACCACCCGCGTGCCACCCTCTCCCCTCCCCCCCCTCCCCCCATTGAAGCCCCCGATGGCGGCGTGTTAAAAAACCGGCTGTTTTGTTGACGTTTTGCATGTAGACGATACCGCGCGAGATCGGGCTCAGGATGATGAAGATATCGGCGCTCAACGAGGAGTCCAGCGAGGAAAGCGAGGAGGAGGATGTACCCACGATCACGAAGGAGGCGCAGGTAGGGGTCCGCCGCGTTGTTTACATCTATGTATAACCTAAGATTCGAAGGGATACGCGGGGCATATCGTTTCCTCGAAACGCTCCTCTGTCTCTTCGTACTTGTTATCGGTAATATTAATTTACTAATGTATCGCTGCGTCGGCGTTATCCATCCCATGCGCGTGGATGATGAACGTTTGAAAAAAAAAACCCTTGTGTCTCCATTCAACCGCCAGGGATGGCGATCATGTGTGCGTTTTTCACGCTGAGGGCGGAAACGCGAAAAGTGAAAGATTTTTTCATTTATCTTTAATGATAAAAATTTTCACATTTTCGCCACTTTTTATAGGAGAAAAGTGATCGCTATCCACAGGTGTGTATGTGATTTGTATATATAATTCAATTCAGCGAGGCACATTCTAAATTATCACATACTACGTTAATGAGTGTCAGATATTTAAATTGAAATTCCGAGGAACGTACTTGACACGTGCGTTAAAAATGTGAGATATAATTTTTTTTTTTTTCCAGGAACAAATAGCGCTGACGGAATACAACAAGGCCCTGGAGCTGTTGAAGGAGGACAAATGGGAGGAGGCGCTGACCATCTTCAAGGACCTCCTGGACACCGAGCTGTTGGACGAGGTGGGGAAGCCCGAGGTGCCGGACGGAAGGTCCAGGCCGATGCTGTCCCTGAAGTACTCCTGCTACAAGAACATCGGCGCCATTCAGGCGGCCCGCGAGAATTACGAGGCTGCCGTGGAGAATTACTGGGAGGCCGCGAACCTGGACGATTCCGACGTGACGCTGTGGCACAGGATCGGCACGTTGGCCATGAAGACCTCCAACCTGGAGCTCGCCTGCTCGTCGTTCAGGCAAGGCCTGAAGTGCAATCTCAATCACTGGCCGTGCTTGGACAACCTCATAACTGCCTTGTACGCCGTTCCCGATTACATGAACTGTCTGCTGTACATTTCCGTGGCGCTGGAGAGGGATGCGAATTACGTGAAGGGTCTGGCCTTCCGCGACAGGATATTCAAGGACATTCCGTGTATGGAGGAATGCTACAAGCTGTACAACAGCGATTGGCAGTTAGATCCACCTTTGTACACCGAGTACGATCACGTGTTGGGCGACAAATTACTGGCGGAGGCGAAGGAGGTTTCCAAGAAGTGGGCGGAAGTTTGCAAGGCCGAATTCACGCCGAAATCCTTGCCAGAGCTGACTTTGAGAGTGCCCCTGACGAGCTACACGTGGCTGGCTCTCGGAGAGAGCCTACTGGACATGCATAGGTACATCACCGAGAACAATTTGAACTTTGTTAGTAAAATTGTATTGTCGGTTCAGAAGCCCGACGATAAGAGCGCGGCGAGTAACGAGGGGGAGACTGCGGAAGGTAATGCGAATGTGATGGAGGTGGATCCGCAAAACGACGTGATTGCGAACGGAGAGGCCGATATCAAGATCGAAACGGAAGATTGCGAGATGTCGGACGACAATCAAGCCTTCAACGCGGACACGGCGATGGAGATTGAAATCGAAGAGGACAAGAAGTCTTGCTCGAGCGACGTGCAAATTGTCGAGGATGAGGACGCGTTGAGGATGTCCGACACGGACGGTTTGCAGTGCGAGGAACAGGCCGAAGCGAAAAACATGGAAACGGAGGAGCAGATGCACTGCGAGGCGGATGCGAATATCGACAAGTTGGAGAGCGACAAGGTCGCCGACGATATTTACGGCATGGACAACGGAGCGCCTAATGAGAAGTCGAGCGACAAGGAGAGTGATAAATCGAGCGACAAGGCGTCTGAGAGGGGTGCTGAGAAAGCGGGCGATGCGATGTGCAAGGCGGACGACAAAACCAATTCCGAGAAGGCTGACGGAAAGGAGGAAGGACAGAAGGTGAAGAAAAGGCGCAGAAGTGCATTATGCTTTTTGCAGCAGTGGGCCTGGAGCAGCATTGCGGCTTGCAGCAGCATGAGACGATCCGCGAGAGTGAGAGGCTCGAACAGGAGGGAAGCCGAGAGGGACGATGTTCAGTTGGAGGAAACGCTTAGAAGATTGTTCCCTAGTACCTTGTTGTATGTGTACATAATTACGTGTACGCCAATTAATTTAGGATGTGTAAAGTACAATTTTCTTTGATCTTTTTTTTTTTACAGACCCGACACGGTAAGATTGACTAAAGACGACGCTAGTAAAAATATGGATGATTCCATGGACACTATGGATATGTACCAGTTGTTTGCGAATCAGGACGCTAATAAAAATGTGGAAACTCTCAAAAGCTCGGAAAGCTCGAAATCGCCAAGTCCCGACGCAAGGTATCTCGCCCGTAGTTCAACTTTCGTCGTAATTATGTAACAATGCGTTACTAATCTGATTTTATATGTATGTCCGCACAGTCAACCACAGAAATACTTCGGGTCGGAAGTAGAAACTGCCGATGTGGACGCATTTATAAACCAGCACAGCAGTAAGAGCAATTTAATGATAATCATTACGAAATTTGCGGAATTTTTGTGTACCAAATGGAACCAGGAATGGCCGAAGGGAATGTCGGACGTTTATCTACAGGCATACGTCTTTATGAGGTAGCTACACGGAGGATTGATTTTTTTTTCATGTTGTTGAAAACGAAAGGTTGAATTAGAAAAATCTTTTCAGACAACATATTCCGCATTTGTCGCCGTTCGATGAGGATGTGAATGACAAAGTTCTGAAATTGGACACCGAAGCGACATTGTTGTTCGGCGAGCTTCATACAGACAGGTGGCTCGATAATAAACCAGACACCTTGCCAAGCCCAACGTAAGTTTCCAATAATATTTTTTTTTTTCACCTTTTATTAATAAAATCAGTTTTTTGTACAAATAAAATAATTACAGATTGGATAAGCTTGGCACTGGTATGCCAGCAGAAGAATTGGGACATATAATATTTGCAAGTGTTAGACAGGATCTTCTAAATGAAGAAAATTTATATACATTACTGAGAATTCTGTGGCTTAAAAGTAACATTTTCCTGTGCCAAGGTGACATAGACATAGTCATAGAAACGTTAGAACTGGTAAGAGAGTTTAATATTAAAATTATGTTAAAATAATTATTGTTACGAGCAGATGTAAATTTCTTTCAGTTGTTGAATCGTCTACATGAAATGGAAAGTAAAAGTCTAAATCCGTGTATTATGCTTTTAAATTGTAAGAATAACTCTCAAATTAGTGCCAAACTTGTAAAGAAAAAGTTGACGTCGATTCAGAGGTATTTTTTTTTTAATATTTGTACTAAAACGTATATTATTATACGTGCCCGGAATACTGTATGTGCACGTTAAAGCGGATACTATAATTTAATTCTTTTGTTATATAGGGGTCAAAAGTTAGGCGAGATACAACATCTGTATGAGGAGAAGAAATATGCGGAATTGTCTTACATATTGCAGGATACTTTTAAATTTGCCAAACAGAGACACAAATTGTTGGGGGCTAATGAAAATATCGTTGACAGAGTTCGACAATTAAACATGTTACTTGACAGCTTGTGGCAACTTCAACATTATGAAGTAATAAGTTAAATATATACACATATATGAAAACACGCCATAGATTTTCAACAATACCAAATACTTTCAGGAATGTTACGTTTGGGCGGAGGCCTGTCTGAATGAATCGTGGCAAAATTACTTGAATTCCTCAGACGAAGCTGAGCAGAAGAAGTGGACGAGTTCTGTTGTAACGGCACTTGAGAAATTAGAAGCTTGTACGATCGAAGCCAGTGTTTTCGTTGGTAAGATCATAATCTATAATCATAATTCTCTCGCAATGTAACATTATTACGTTAATTTTAGGATTATTATTATTGTATTTATTATAATTTCAGTGAAATATTTATCAGAGTCTCGTCTATCGAGATTAGTACAAAATTTAGTTCACATTGTTTGTCATCAATTGGATGTACCAGAAAATGCTGTGGAGATGCCGTTGGAGACTGTTCTACCTTGGATCCTATTACATTACGTTCTGCAATAGTAAGTCCATCAAGAAATGTGTATTCGATATTATTATTATATATATATATATATATATATATATATATTACATGAATTGATTTATTAACAGCAAAGAAGACAAGGAAAGGGCGAAGACGGAGTCTCCTTACAAAAATAAATCGCACAGTTCTCATAATTCCGAATCGGACGACGAGGACGACGGCATACCGCCGTCCATCATGATTCTGTTCATTGCTCACGAATTTATCGGTCGACATTCGTGGTGTTGTTTCAACGAGGCGAAACTCCTGTTCTTCATCATGAATCTTATCATACCGCATCTCGAAACGCCCATGTACAGTTCTGTGAAGAGCAGGCTGACCAAGTACTTGGAGCAGATATTCTTTTGCCTGTACCAACATCCAAACAGGGTGAACAAAACGCGACCGAAGTATCTTCAGGAACACGGAGTACCCGGAATGGATTTGACTTGGGACGGGGCGCAGCTGCTGTTCGAGTTTTACAAACCGAAACAGCTGCCGAACTTTCAGTCCCCCAGAATCGTATCCATCAGCACGGACACGGAGATCCTGTTTAAGAGAATAATCAAATTGGTCCCGCAGGAAAGCGATCCGAATCAGATAGTAGAAGAGATGACGGCGTACATACTCGGCGCGAGGGATAAGATGCCGAGCGTGACGAAACCCCTGCCGCACTCGATATCCACCATTTACTACTTGCTGGGCGATTTTTATTTCAAGAACAATAAGTGGGAACACGCATGCCGGTATTGTCTACTGGATTTGTGCCTGTATCCAAAGGGATTGAATTCGTGGGCGGGTTTAGCTATGGCAACGGGCAGCATAATAGAGAATTGGTTGAACAGTTACAAACCTATGTAAGTATTGCTCTCGAAATTTTATTTAAATTTGCGTTACACTTTACGCGTATGATATGTCTGATTTTTTTTTTATTTTTTAGAGGAAAGGATAAGTTTCTCAATAAGGCAAAAATGGCGCAGTCGAGTTATCAACATGCCATCGAGCTGGCGCCGGGTCATTCCGTAATTTGGACAGAATACGGGAATTTCGTTTACATGGTCCATTCGTTTTGTTCGCGATTGCTCAAGCAAGAGACCGACACGTTGAGCATGGAGAGATTCGAAATTTTGGAAACTAGAAAGGAAGAGATGCTGAAGATCGCGAATCAGTGCTTCGAATCCGCTAACCGGATATGCCAGACTATCGAGGAGCCGTCCATACAGCATGACGAGAGATGGCTTTACCAATATATGCTTGGTAAAGTCGCAGAGAAGAAAAATCAGGATCCTCCAGTATTCTTGGAACATTACGCAAAGGTTAATCATTTTATTTATTATATATCTTTTTATATACATAATATTTGATGCTGATTAACATCGATATCTGAATTTTAGGCTAGTGAATTATTGTACGAGAATAACGCTCAATACCCACGTAGAATAAGCCACAAGAGTTCACAGAATCTATCTATAGAGGCCCTAGAAGTTCATTATCGCATTCATGCGAGTATACTGAAGTATTTGGAACAACACGAGGGAAAGCCGCTGAAGAAATCACTAGGTCAGTTGTTCCATTGGCATCTCAAAAATTGCTCCGAGGGGCCGTTCATGAAGTATCAGCCTAAGCTTAACGATAAGAAAAAAGATGAGAGCGACGTTGAGAAAAGTGTTTCGAAGGAAGTCGACGGTACAGCTGATACGGATAAAAACGCAGCAGTATGTCAACGATCAAATAGTATCGAAGAGATAGAGATTATAGATAAGTCGAGCAAGATCTCCGATATTAATTCCGCGGTACTGGGAAAGTCCGAGAGCCGTAAGAGATTTCCCGATGAGCTGTCGCACGACAGTACGAAGAGAATAAAATTGAGCAGCGTCTCGCATTTGCAATTGATGCAGGACGTCGTAGCCTTAATAGACGATTTGATCACCAAAGTCTGCGACATGGTGTCGCAGAAGGAGAAAGAAAGGAGCGACGATGTAATGATCATATCCAGCGACGAGAGTACAAACGAGACGAAATTGCAAAAGAAGAAGCTGGAGAGTAAGAGCGCCGATAAAACGAAATCGCAGGCAAAGGCCGAGGAGGGCAAGAAAGGCCCCGTAAACGTGCTGACAGTTGAACAAAATTCTGAACAAAAGACCGATGATGTACAGGAGTTGATGGACGCTCTCATGAAACAGGCAATGGAAATTAGCCAGGAAACCCAACAATCCTCGGCGGACGATGAGGATACCAGAAGATTCGACGGCAAGTGGTTGCAGAACGAAGATTTGCAAACTACTGTGAGTTTGTGAGAGAAATATGTATTATTATATATTTACTGTGTAAATTTTTAATATTAATTGCAATTAATTTTAATGCGTAGGAAAAGGAAAATAAAGACAAAATAGAAGATAGGAGAAAAGCGCAAGCCAATGCGAATGAAGAAATGACTTTAAGCAGGAGGGGCTCTCAAGAAAGCACCACGACTACGCAGACCACAACCACGACCACGGAGACAAATAATTCCAGCTCCAGTAGCAGCGAGGAATCCAGCAGTAGCGACGACAGCTCCGACAGCGACAGCTCCACCGACAGCGACAGCGAATCCGTCGAGAGCGACGCGGACAAAAAGAAGAAAGAGTCTGATAACGCAGACGATGGTAAAGTATACTGCTGTTTGATTATCATAAAAATAATTTTATTTTCTTATAATTTGTATGATCGTATTTTAATAAGTGTACAAAAATTACTATAATTTACTTTTGACAATTGTATTTTAACTCTAGAGGAACAGATGCCGGAGGAAGAGGTGGCGACATTAATCGCGTATTGCTTGGCTGGTTTGGAACAGTGTGTATTAAGGTTCGCGGAACATCACAAGTCGTTTTATAGACTGTCACACTTCTTCTTCAACAATAAAAAGGCGAAGAACATCACAAAGTGTAAGGATATCTTATTAGGAACGTATACTTGTCAATTCTATCCCGGACAAACTTTTCAAGGACTTTTTGCCGAGAGAAGGAGTACCAACTTTTTTAATGTGAGTATTCTTTATAACTAAGTATACATACATAACATAAATTATTATTTACTATATATAATTTAAAATTAGATATTAGTGTCTGGCAATAAATAATACGATAATAATTATGTACAATTATATATAACATGATCTCTTAATTCAAGTCAATTGGCCTAATTTAAATCATTTAGAAAGATATTTTAATATGAGACGTTTAAATGCAGCTTTATCAATAGATTGTACAATTCTTGCATTATGTACCTCGCTGGTTGAATTTATCACAATTGCACCTCTTGCATCACCAGCAAGTACCGGAGTTAAGTTAGTGTCATAATATCGCGTTATTATGTTTGGTTCTAACGCAATTGCCATGGTCATACCATCTGCTGGCTGCCACGTGTTATTTGCATTTTCTAAAGCCTTTCTTGTAGTCCGATGCAAAAAGGTTGCCGTAGATTTATCCAGATCATTGAAAAGGATTCTATATTCCGCCTGTTTGAAGAAGGGTTCCATTATTTTAAAATTAACGTAATACTCAAGTGCTTCTAAATATACTTGTAGATATATTACCAGTGGAAAAGCATGGGACATTACTGTGTCTATCGGAAATATAATACTAGGTTTATTGACATTATTTAACGCCATCCAATTACTTTCTGGATCCTGTTTAAAATTAAATTCAACCTCATCGGGCTTGACGCTCGCTCCCATTATGATATGTTGCTTCGTTAAATGTAGGAAATTGGGTTCTAATGCAATTGCGGTAGCAACTGTTGTCAGAGGCCCGAGAGTGATTAGAGTTATTTCACCTAAAAATAAAATTAATTAGATACAATATATGTCAAAGTAAATGGAGATCTTACAAAGATACTATTTTAAATAATTGTTAATTGTACCTGGATATCGTTTCACTAAATCTACAAGCAATACAGAAGCATGTTTCGACCTGTCAATCTTCGCAGTTATCTTTTTGGTAAAATTAAAATCTCCGAATCCATCGTCGCCAAAGAAATTGTCAGTTTCATATTCATTTATTAATGGTTTTCGGGCGCCAGAATATATAGGTACCTGAGTGCCAAGAGTTGTGGAAATATTATTACACTCGTAGATATATTGTATGAGAAATATTATAGACTGTTAAAAGATTCGAATACATATGTTAAAAATATTTGGTCGTTAAATGCTTACTTTTCTATCAGCAACTGTTACGATTTTTAATAAATTTTGTTCTGCGTTTTCCAAATCTATATTGCCATACGTGACAGTTATGGCTAGAATATCGATATCACGAGTTTTAGCCTCGTACATAAGAGCCAGCATTACTGCTAAAGCATCATCCCCACCGGGATCTGTATCTATTACTATTTTCCTTCGTTCCCCGTGCTTATGCCTTTTACTATCACAAAATTATACACGTGTTGACGTAAATACTTTTTTGTCATTTAAATTTGTAAAATAGCAAGATAGAAAACCTTTCTCTTATTATTTGCGACAGAATAATAGGTTATAAAAATAATCAAATAATTATTTTATTATTACCTGATGGCATAACAAAGTAGGTACAGTATTACTGTTATCCTAAAGATACTTGAAATTATAATCATTTTGCTCAATTATCTAGTAAGACCTGTAATTATGTGTAAAAATATATTGTAAAACTAATGAAACAAATTTTTTGTTAACATATCAATGGCCATATTTACATCGTTACGTTTCATTCATCCTAATCACGAGAGTAATAACAGTGTAAACGGTTTATTGTGTCAAATTTAGCTTGAATATAGGGTATAATATAAATCACGAGCTAAACGTACGGTGTAAATATAACCATTGTTACGCGACCATTATTGGTACATAAATATTCTTTAAAAATAATATTTGTGTTACAGGGGGTGTGGCACATTCCGGTCAATGAAATTGACAGACCCGGAAGCTTTGCTTCACACATGTCGAAGTGCGTGACGCTGCTTATGCAGGTGTTAAAAGAGAGCAACGACAGCCGAATGTTAATGCAACTGTGCATACAGCTCGGAAAGATTCCGGATTCAGACAAGTAAAATTAAATTTAAAACACATTATTTACTCTTCTTGCATGATGCAGTGAGAAAATATGGATATAAATAATATATTTTTTTTTTGAGTTTTTAATGAAATAGAATCTTATTGTAATACAAGCTTCTTCTGCGTCTAGGAAATACTTACGTGATTCTGAGAGGGAACAATTATCTCGACAAGCTCTGACGCTGTGTCAGCAGTCGCTCAGGAGCAGAGTTCAGGCGATGGGCTCGGCAAGCACGATCGACAGCGTACACCTCATTAGAACGGACGCTAGAACACAAGTGCTACTTGACGTATACGAAACATATCAACTCGTCCAAAAGCATTTGCAGGGCAAAGATTCGACTATCCAGGCATTTGCAACATTATTGACGGATACGTACAAGATGTATATAGGAAATAAAGTAAGTGTAGTAAAAGCTTATAGATATTGTTACACTTCCGACGATAATTACAAGCTGTCGCAATTAGTGTTATCTATGCTAGTGCACTTTGCATATGGCTTTAAAACAGAGGAAGTTATATATCCTCTTCTTGTGCCTCTTATCTCCCACCAGATCTTATCTTTCCTTATTTCTTTTTTTTTTCGTACGCTTGCACAACTGGATCTTATAATACGTTCATCTCCGATAATGACGCGCGAATTAATATCCAAGTATTTACATGGTAGATAAAATAAAACGTGTTCATCAATAATAAAATGTTATTGCTGTAGGTCATGTCACATGTGATAAAAATGTTACTTTACGTTATTCGAAAACGCCTCTTTTTTTTTTTCAAGGAATCAAATGATTATAAACTATTCATTATAAACTGTCACTTCTTCTCGCTTGTATTGCAGTATTCATATCACATAGAAGTTTCTTATCTTTCTTTTTGTTAGATGTTATTCCTTTTTTTTTGTACAACTGTGTCTTATAATACGTTCGTCTCCAGTATTGACGCGCAATTGATATCCAAATATTTGCATAATAGATCAAATAAAATGTGTTCGTCAATAATAAAGTGTTATTGCTGTAGGTCATATCACATGTCATAAAATGTTACTTTATTTGTCATTCGAAAACGCCTCTTTTTTTTCATGAACTATTTATTATAAACTCTCATTTCCTGCTTGTATTGAATTATTCACATCACATCATTGGATATTTCTTATCTTTTGTTAGATGTTACTCGTTTTTTTCGTACACTTGCACAACTATTTTACAATACATTCGTTTCCGGGAACGACACGCAATTGATATCTAAATATTTGCGTAATAGAAAAAATAAAACGTGTCTGACAATAATAAAAATGTTATTGAAGTAAGTCGTATCATATCATAAATGTTACCTTATGTCAAAAGCGTCTTTTTTTATTAAAGAACCACTGTTTAAGCTATTTATTATAAGCTATCGTTTCGTGCATTTATGCAGACAATTAAATTATACCAGATAATAGTCGCGAAATTTTAAGTACTAATCACGCTTTTATTACCTTATAGAACCTGGAAGGAAACGTCTTGGATATCGCTATTAAGTGTTGTCAACGTCAGATACAAGCAAACAAAATTGCATCTATTAACAGCAACACTAGCTCTCACGTGCCACCCCAGGTCGTCGTCTCTACTGTTTCGGTAAATAAACGCACCTTACGTCCCCTTATTATATCGCGATCGTCGGCATGTAATTGAATTATTATCAAATCAATATCAATCTCGTTGCAGGCGCCCGTTCCACAAGCGCCAGTGAACTCGACGTCCCCGCAGGCGTTGCAGGCTCGCAAACCGCATAGAAATTTGACGTCTACCGGACGTCCGAGGGGACGGCCACCTAACGTTAACAAATACTTGCAACAGAGTGGCAGCATGATGAATCAGTTCAGCTCCAAGAATAACTTCGCGAATTACATGGGCGCGTCCGGGCCGAATCGCTCTATGATAAATCCCTATTTCATGAATCCGTTAGTCAACGCGAACATGTTGTCGGCTATACTGGCCGATCCCCTGGCGGCTATGACCTATTTGAATCAAGTAGAAAGTTATCAAGATATCCTCAGGCAGTATCAGAGCAACCTGTCGTCCTTGACCAATCTCGCGAGCGGCTTAAACAATCCCGGCACCACGATAACCAGCATCAGCAATGTTTCGACCATGAGTACATCCAGCTCTAATATTAACACCTCGAGTAACATCGCTAATTTAGGTGGTCTAAAAAGTTCCGTAGATCCTATGACAGCGTCGGTGCAACAATTGCTGAGCTTAAGTAATTCTACGGCGCCGACTACCTCACGACCGGCGTCCATGTACCATCAAGCGGCGGCCAAGACTAGCACGACTATATCAATAACGAAGGACAGACCTAACATATCTATAACGCCGGTAAGCACCTCGATGGTCCAGCAGCCCCATCACAAGACGACGAAGCAGCCGAGCGCGCAGAACGAATCGGTGTTGCCCGTCCACATTCCTAAATCCCTTCAGATATCGCCGACGAAACCGGTATTACACTCGTCCAGCGCGACGGCGCAGGTATCGCTGCTCAAGCCGTCCATCATTCAGCAGGTGAAGAGCAGCCCGCCCAAGCAGATGGGCGCTCCGCAAATACGAGTCTCGAAATCGTTGACCGAGCCGCAACCCGCGCACAATCCATCACTGTCGCACTCGCCTCTGAAGAACAGCGGTAGCGCCGTGACGACGAATCCGGTCGCGGCCATGCCGCACGTCGCCCACGCGTCCATGGCCGCGCCGGTGATCATGAAACAACAGCAGGCATTGCCCATGAACTTACCGAGCGTGTCGCGCTCCGGCACGTCGCTGCAGCACAAATTACTGTCGAAGAAGAACTCCCAGCGACCTTACACGGCGCAAACGAACGTGCAGAGTCATCCCGTGAGGAAGGTAAAGTCGGTGACAGCCAAGACGACGACGACTGCGGTGGCGACGGCGGCGGCGGCGGCGATGCCAGTGTCGATGTCTGGCAATTTTCCAAATCTGCTGAACGCGATGTCATCGGCAGGTTCCGCCGCGATGTCGCAACCGCCTTTTATACCTTCGGAATTAAGCGGCCTCTCGGTGAGCGCCGTCGGTTCGCAGCCGCCCGGCGTTATCAAGAGCGCCGCGACCGCGGCCGCCAAGTATCATGCTTACAAGAAGTCGGTCAGCAAGCCGAAACCGCCCGCGACGCCGGCGATGGAGGTCCCGAGCTCGTTGTCGGCCACATTCCCCTCCGGCAGCTCGGTCGAGGCGCTCTCGATGCTGTCGCAATTACAGCAGCACTCGCATCTGGAGATAATACCGCAGCAGAAGGCGCCGCTGAAGCCGACTATGGAGCGCATAGATTATGCGAAAAATCTCTCGTCCTCCGTGAGTGTGGTGCCGCCGAAGGTCCCGGAGACTTTGAGGCCGTCATCGACCGCCGACTGTAGGATATACGATGCAGCCAGAGGAAAAACCGCGAACGAAAAGCTGCTTGCGAAGAAGCCACAAGATAAGCTTCTCCTTGATAACGTTGAAATTATAACATTGGACGATTAGAATCGCTCAAATAAGTCACGTGCAACCGACATACTTTTGCACTTATAATACTTTGTACGTTTTTTTTTTACAATTATTTTCGCCTGATAACGTTATATCGTTAACTCGTTGCATTGAGACGATGAATTGTATTTGTGCAATAGCGATGATACCTCAGTGGAAAGTACTCCTTTTAGTTTGTTATCACTACGTTTCATGCGTTTCGTAAGTCTAATACCCCGGCTCCGAGTTATTAAACTAGAATACAGAAATCAATTGCGTGTAAAATTATCGAATTCCAATGCATCGAATTAATATATGTCTGATTTATAGCGAATTCAGAAGGACGCGCTATTGCGCATTGGTGCACGTTAAAGTCGTACACAAATTAACACGAAGGTATAATATAAATATAGAGTAATTTATGAATTAAACCGCGAATAATTCTTAATATACTTTAAAATTTAGCAAAATAGTTGTAAATTTAATAAAATGTTTAGTAAAATACAATAATTGTAGAAAAAAAATATTTATCCGTCGGAACATGCAATTGCAAGCAATTCGCCTGAGCTTTCATCCGCTTTGTAATTGCCAAGATCGACATTCTGAGAATATCCCGATGGACGCCACTCTTGTGATCTTGAGTTACTTACTTATAATTTAAAGGTCCGACATCCCATATTTGTATACATATGTAATTGGTAATTCGGAATATTTATATTTTATTTTTACACTCTGATTATTTTCAATATACAACAGCTTTAATATGCACCAATGCGTACTACTAATCGGGAATTCGCTATTATAATATATAAACGTAGTAAATTGTTTTTTTTTTAATTGTTATTAGCAGTAAATTATAGAATTATTTGTGACAAAAGTGTTCTATCCTATGTATATATGTGTATTTTGTTTCTTTACTGTAAAATTTTTTCATTCTACAAAGATAATGATCGGTTCTCTAACGTTGTAATTAGTCGTAATTTAATTACTAGTAATCTACTAATTTTTCTTGATTGGAGGATACACATACACACTCACATATTCTAACAAATTTACGTATTAAAATCAGTTATTCTTTTTTATAATTATTTTATTCTTAAAGGAGTACAAATGAAACTTCAATACGCACTTTCTAATGTTATTAATCATAAAATATTAAATTTCCATAACATTTAATGATATTAAATTTAGATAAAACCGAAAAACTTCAAATTATGAATTTTTGGTTGTATACATACCTTTCACTAGAAAGTAAATTTAATTAATTTATCATTATACACTCACAGAGATAAATGAAATAATGCATTGCTTTTTCACGAATCCTACTAAGGTATTTCTGCATAAGGAAACATTATTTTTCTACTGTATGTACTTGATAGTAATGATATCTTTTTTCTACAGGAACAACAGATCTAATGTAATTAGCTTCGGAAAACGTGAACGTTTTCTAAAGACAATTTGTATAAGTATGTCTAACGTATGTCTGATATTAAAGACATTCGGAACAAAGAATTACCAGCTTCACTTGTTAACTATTTCTATTTCTATTTTATTTCATCGTTTGCCAATTCTCGTTCTCACACAAGTTTTACATTTTTAAAACTAAAATTACGTAACGATAAGGTAATTCTTCGTGATAACGTAAATGCATTCTAAATATAAGTTGCGAAATTGTTTATTTAACTAAAGCAGGATATACACCGAACGAACGCGAATGGATATTCATATTCGTGCTTCTAAGTCATTTGTCCCGTTTCTTGATTATTCGGATTATTCTGCATATAGCAATTGAATTCGTGCAATAAATAATAATAACAGACGTTCGGTGTTCGTTCGTAAATGTATATTCGGCTTAACGGGGGAAAAAATACTTTTTAGGAGAAACGTTTAAAATTTTTAATGTCAACATTATAAAATTTAGGAATACAACAAATTTTCGCACAATATGTGATATGTGCCTTCAGATCGCTTTTCAGATCTATTGATTTTTTAAATCCACTTCACAAACGAATTCGAGACAAATCCATGAACTCCTGGGATTTTTACCGCGAATACAGAACCAGCGTCAGGAGTCGCTTTTCGTTGCTCTGGAGTTAAATTGTGGCCCGACGTGGTCACGTATAAAGTATCCAGATGCGGATCGCCGAATGCGACACTGGTTACGTCTTCAGCTGGGATCTTAACTTTGCGTAACACCTCTCCTGTTTTCGAATCCACATGAATAAGCTATAGATAAAACATTTTCATGAATTTAGAAAACTCCAAATATTTTCATAAATATTTTTTTCTACACATACATATTCTATATATATATACTACATATATATTTGAGCTGCTAAATTTATTTATGGTTCAATGAATTAGGAGAACATCTCAAATTAATATCCGGAAAAAACAATTTTACAAAAAAATATGCTTCAAGTTGATGTTGTACAGATCACAACAGACGCATTTAATGACTTTAGCTTTGCTACAAATGTAAAATAGTATTTCTTTCTTTAATATTACTTATAATGAAATTTAAAACATTATACATATATATATATATATATATATATATATATATATAAAATTTATAGAATATTATATTACAATTCGTCAATCTTTAAGTGTCGCCTACTTTACATTATAACTTACATGATGTCCACCATATAATGCTATCCAAAGATTGCCATCTGTATCTATGGTCATTCCATCGGGAACTCCTGGCAAATTAGTAGTGTTGAGATTGAATACAATCCTCTTGTTAGCTGAAATAAAAAAAAGCTATAAACATGCACACTCCCTAATTTCTATTACTAAATTGTATGCTCCATGATTATTTTCTGCATATGACGTACACTTATAATAATTTTAAATGGAAAACTAATAAAATCTTACATATTGCCCCACTACTCGGATTATAAGCGTACGCTGCAACCTGACGAGTAAGTGAGTCAATATAATAAAAGGTGTTGTCTTCAATATTCCATGCTAATCCATTACTCATCGAAACGGGCGATATTTTCTTCACAGGTACAAGCTTTTCGTCAATGGAATACAACGTTCCTAGATTGCGAGCTTCATTATCTTTACCCTTAGTACCTGTGAAAAATATCAGTCATTGCAGATCAAAGTTACATTAATTTCTGTTAATCATAGAGACATTTTCAGTTTACCGATCCAAAGGTTTCCAATTGAGTCCACTTTGCCATCATTGATCATTGTGTCAGACTGAGGAGAGTCAAGCGAACACAAAACTGTGGCGTCCTCCAATTTATCGCTAACTCCATCCCACGTAGCGAGAAGAACATCTTTCCCTGCACCTATTACAAACTGGTTAGGCTCGTCAGTCACAGGTACAACAACTCCAACAGTCCCGTGATCTGAAAGAGTATCGTGGGACTTAAAAATGTGCTATAAATTCAGTGAAACATAAGAAAGTTCGTAAAGTATATGAAATCTTACCTATGCGCACGCTCTTCACATCACCTGTTGCAGGATCTAACCTGTGTATGTACTGATTGTATATGTCAACAAAATATAACTTTTTGGTAGATTGATCCCAGTGAGGGGCTTCAGAAAGGCCATAAGCATCTGTCACCTTCTTCACATTATAACTTTCTGCCTTTCTGTAAACAGATTGCGATACTTGCGTTTTATACATCTTGTAAAGCTTGACAAAGGCTTAAAAAAGATGATGGTCAATATAAGTAAATTAGGTATATGATTCTTGAGGCTTTACCTATTTATAATTATAATAGTTTTCAGTTGTACACAGATCTACATGTAACAATTACAATTCTTTTGAAGTTCAATGCCCTCATCATTTCAATCAATTTATATCAATTAATGGAAATGTCAAGTGTTTACGTGACGCAACACGTTAGATTTCCTGCACAATAGTAACATGTGAATATTAGTGTTCTTTGTAAAAACTCGCTTACGTCAATCAAAAATCAAAAAATCAACAATAAAGTTGTTATTGTTGTCATTGTGTTTATTCTTTGCCGGTTATACTCGGATACACTTACGCTTCCTGAGTTCAAAACAAAACAATCCCAATTAAGATTCTCAAGTTTAGAGAAGGAGGGAGACGGAGAGAAAAAGAAGATTCCAAAATATTAAAATTAAAAGGAACAGACGCCCGCGCTCGTCTACTTTTTTCACGCCGCGTAAAGAGGTTATATATACACCAAAGAGGTTATATCACCAGACATGCCGGCCTCTTGGGTGGGACCGGCGATCTCCCCCGTACACTAGCCCCACGTCCACGTTTTCAAAGAAGGAACTACGTACCACGTCTATTCAAGTGCCGACGGGAGAGAATAGGCGCAACGTGATCTGACGGGCTCGACAAAGCTCCGAAAAGCAACACGCTGAATTATTACATATATATATATCTGCAATCCTTGTATTCTTTAATGCTAGTCTCATACTACCTTGAAAAGAATTAAACGATAAAATTATAATTAAAAATATTGTTGCATGGATGATAACGAAAAGGAGGAACATCCAAATCCTTCGCCGACGGGAGGCGTGATTTCTCGAAAAATGCGTTTATGTACAGTAGCAATTTCACGTGTCCTTTAATGCGAAGCATATATGCTTTCTCGAGAAGACCTTATTAATAAAACATTCTAGAACATTATTGTTACATAATAATTAACAAACGATTTTCAGTGTTTATTATGTTTTATCGTAAGAAATAAGTTGCCGCGCCTTATACGTAAATTACTTATTTGTCATAATAAATTTGAAGTAATTTTAATGTTACGTTATAATTAAATAATATATTATTTAAACTATAGTTTAAATTTAATTACGCATCTGTGGAGATGCACAAAAGATCATAAATATTGTTAAAAGTACATATATAGAGA